AGCCTTTGTTATCTGCTTAACCCTGTTGATACTACGTTTGCCCGACCTGGTGTTACCATCCTCGTCTACCTCAGCTTTGAAAAATGATTCAATTATAATTTGATTGAGTTTATTTTGTATGCAGTTATTCCACCTGTCCTGTAGGTGTCTCTATACATATTTAGTTTCCTGTTCTGTACATATTGTGATTCTGGAAATGAATATTGTTATCTTATGCTTGGTTTGCCGAATTTTGTGTCTGCACTTGAGTCTCTGAACCTGATCCATGACAGTCACAACAAACAATCTTGCATTTTGGTTCTTTCACAGATATATTAAAGGTCTTCTGGAATATGAAAATATCTGCTCAGTCAAAAATATACGTACAACAATGGCAATATTTGGTTAAATGTCATTTGGCCATTTTTACCTCAACTAGGTATTTTTGGTAGCCATCCACAAGCTTCTGGCAAGTTTCTGGTTGTATCTTTGACCCTCCTGACAGAATTGGTGCAGTTAAACTACATTTGTTGTCTCCCAGACAGACTTGTTTCTTCATCACTGATGTTGAAGCTGATGTTTAGTCTCTGCTATGTACAAGTCTGTGCACTCTTTGCTGCACTGAACTACATATACAACGATGCTTCCCTTGGGTGTTGGTGATGTACGTGGTCTTAACCAGTGTATGTGAACTTTTGTTCACAACAGATGTACTTACAGCAGAAACGTGTGGATGTCTGAAGGAGCGCTGTAGTTTCAGTTCCTATGAGAGATGTTTATTCGTTCATGGGAGGCGGCACAAAGAAGAATCAGGCTGATTTCCCAGAAATGACATAACCTGCAGAAATTAGTTCACTGTCTCTCTGTTCATCACAGAATACATTTAAGGTATACAGAGCATTTTTACAATACTCAGGTAAACTTAGATGTGCAGATTTGTTAGAAATTATTTGGGGTGAAATGTGCAACTTTACTTTTTGTAGAAAAATGTAGAACAGTTTAATGACTCACAGAACAAATAAATCATCTACATTTATAACATTCAAAAATACTGTTATGAACCATTCCTTTGAAGCTCAAGAGCAAATTATACAATCTTATGTTTATATTAGCATTCTTCCATATTTTGACCCCAACAACAGAAATACATCTTTTAATTTCTTTGATTGCTTTTTGTCAAGTGAACTTAAACATCTCTCAAATCACATTTGGACTCCTGCAATGAAAAAGATCTTTTGGACACAGTATGGGAGTAACTTTGCTCTGACCCTTTAAGATAAATCAGACACAGAGCTTTATAATTTAATATATTTTTAGAGTTTTTGTAGGAGACACACAAGTTTGAAGATGAGGAGCACAGTGTGCTTGAATGAGTGTGTGTTGCAGAGGCAGTGGTTCAGGTGGGAGTGGGCGTGTGCACATGCAGAAGTGGATGTGTGTGTATAAAGGGGTGCACTCACCTGTGTCACAGATGGAAGGAGGAGAGAGTCAGGGTTGGTTAGTAGCCACAATGTTTGTTGACCGCTACCCATTCATTCATTAACCACCTTTTTATCTGTTTATTTCGCTGGTTTTCATTTTTTCCATTCATTCATCTTTTGCGCTGTGATAGCTCTGTGCTCTTTTGTCACAATAAATGCACAAAAAGCATATTTGGATCTCAGCGTATCTGTTATTATAGCCTCCAAGTGCGTCACAAATCTGTGAACCTGAGGACCCAACCTCAAACTCTCAGCGGTGAAAAGGTTTGTTTGGACGCCGCAACAGTTATATAGGATTGCTAAAGACTTTGAAAATCTTCCTTTATTATATTCAATATGTTTTCATTTAAACTTCTGATCGGTATCAACCCCTAGAAATTTTTATCTCAGACACTCTTTCAATTTCAGCATCACATATTTTTAGGTTAATATTCCCGTCAATTTGTTTGATTTCCAAAAATCATAAATTTGGTTTTCTTTACATTGAGAGACAATTTAACAAAATTTTTTTCCCAGAGCAAAATATATTTGTGTCATCTGCAAAAATAGTAAATTTAAGCAGTTCAGTAACATTACAAATATCATTAATATAAAAAAAAGTTTTGGACCAATCACTGATCGCCCCTCCACAGTCGAAGTGTCCTTGGGCAAGACACTGAACCCAAAGTTGCTCCTAATAGCAGGCTCACGCTTTGCATGGCAGCTCTGTCTCCTTGGTCTATGAATGTGTGTGTGAATGAGAAAACATTGTAAAGCTTTGAGTGCCGCTAAGGTAGAAAAGCGCTGTATAAGTCCATTCTGTAGATCTTCATTTTGGTGATTTCTCAAGGATTTCAGGGAGTCTCTGAACAGGTGAAGTACTGTCCTGAACACATTCGAGCACTTTGCTGATGAGCAGTGATCCAAAATCATAATACCTGTCAACAGGTGAGAAGTCTGACTGAGAGTTACAGAAAACACTTGATTGCAGTGATTGGCTCAAAGAGTTGTTCAAAAAAATATTATTTTACAGGTCTCATCATGCTTGTTTGCTTGTTGTTGTTTAAATATTTCTGTTGAATCACAATTCAAAAGCAACGTCATGATTTTCATTAAATTCTTGTTCATTACTTTTGTCAGTTTCAACTTTTTTCAGTGACAGCCTTTTTTTCCCCTTCTTTATTTGGAGGGTGTGAATAAATTGGAGGACAACTGTATTATTTAGGTACATTTATTCTGCCTTTTACTGGAAAACCTAAAGTAGAGTAACTTTAAACACACTTGAGCTTTTGGTAGTAGGCAGTGATTTTAATGTGTGCTGCAGTGACGTGTGTTTATGTTCTAACAGGGAAGTGAATGTTGTTGCTGGCGTGTGCACAGACTCTTTCAACATTTTAACACCATCAGCAGTTTGACTGTCCAACACAACAGACTGTAAGTAAATAAAATATTACACTGTCCAAACTTGTTCTGCAAATGATCCACTGTGTGTTAAAATAAAATAAAACCCTTTAATCTTTTGAATATGACTAATGCACTTTGCATCTAATTGCACATCCCTTCTTTGTAGTTAGAATAGAATAGAATAGAATAGAATAGAATAATTAGAATAGAACAGAACAGAACAGAATGGAATGGAACTTTATTGATCCCTTTGGTGGAAACCTCAGGGAAATTGTTGATC